CTTAATATTTTGGACTGGGGCTATACCTGAGCACTACAGAAAATGAAACAAGGTTTGTTTATTATCATTTCTTCAAGTAGAAAGATGGAAGTAAAAACTATATAATTTTAGACATGCATAGAAGTCACATTAGGTTTAACCTGTTTTCAGTCCAGTTAGGCTACACAGATGAAGGGCTACACTTTAATCCAACACTAGTCTGCAGAATTTAATGGGCTTTCACCCTTATTACCGAGATTAAAATAAAGTATATAATAAAACACTCTTACAAAAGTAATTAAAAAAGTTCATTTGGCAGTTTTGATTTAATCTCCCAAATAATCTTTCTCATTACTAGTAGGGCTTTGCTGCATTTTTCATTCTTTATAACACTTCTCACAAGATGTCAATAGCTAAGAGGAATAAAATCACTTTCAGAAAGGATTAGGGAAGAACTGGAACTGGTTCAGCCTTTTCAGTTGCATTTTCACTGCATTAACATGTGCAAGTCTCGAGACGTAAATACCTCAGTTCAAGTACTGTACATACAGCATACTGCAGATGGATGTCTGCACATGCAAATATGTGAAGTCTGTGTTTGTTATTTTCGCTCCTCTTTAAATAATTTGATAAAAAAATTGTGAGTCTTGTTTAAATTATTTGTTTTTTTTTTTCTGTGCATTCACGAATACCAAGCCTTATGAGATCTGTGAAACTCAGTGACAAATATGAAGGATTTCAGTCAGGCTACAGCCCTTCCAAAACACTTTTTGGTCTGAAAAAAGTTTCTGAATGAGATGTTAAAAAGCAGCTCAAGCTGCACTTGGGTTATCATTTTCTACCATTTTCTAGGGCCATGTTAACACACAGGTTCATTCTGGTAGTAGATAAGATTTCTGATTCATTTACCACATCAATTCACTAGACTGTTCACGGCCAAAGTGTCACTGAAATATGTTTGCTGAAACTCTTTTTCATAAAGGTCGTAAAATTCCTAAAGAAACTACAGTATGATATGAGAATCTGTTGTCTTAGTTTTAACTGACATTACACCTTTTTCTATTTCTATTCTTTTGGCTTAAAAAAACAGTTTATTGAATCAATAGGCACTTTGCTCTAAAGTGAATTACAGAGATTATGAATTAGGCACAAACTCTGCTGTAGAGTCACTGACATCAGGATCTTGGGTCTACTCTCTTCCAAAAAGAAAAAGAACATGGCAAACTAATAATTCAGTTTATTATTGGGTTTGTTATATTGGGTTTGAAACAAAGGCCATTTTATAACACGTCCTTTACCTTAATCAATGGACTACCTAACCTCTACATTTGTTCTCTAATTGTGGGGAAATCTTATAACCAACTAAACATCCTCTTTAAAAATCTTAATTTGATTTTCAAAGGTAAACTGTAAAGAGTGTACAGTACATACAAATAAAACACATCAGCACTAATTCTAACCCTAATTAAATAAATACAATATCCAATACTAATATTAAATAAAATAAGCTTCTTGATTGTAACAGCAGATATAGTACACAAGAATTTAGATACATTTCTATATTTCCTCTCTATCACACTTTCACCCTCCCTCCTTCTGCCCACCTTTGTTTGTTTTTCTCTTTGCTTTTCATTTTGTTTTACTGAAGCAATGTCCATGCAGTCATCTCTGTCTATTCAAGTGAATATTAATCAGCAGGGTGGTACAGTTTGGTGCACTCTGAGGATGAAGTAGAACAAAAAAACAAACGAGTTTTCTGATGAAGAGTATCCTACTGAGTTAAAATAAAACAAGATGGAAAACACTTGTTAATGCCACAATGGGGGCATCTTCTTTCCAGTGTTAAGGCATTGAATCAAGTCTTCGCTAGAGCTCATCTGTGTTCTAGCACTTAACCTTGATTATAGCACTACGTTCTTCCCTGATTGCGAAAGGCTCTGCTAGTGATTCAAAGACACAGACTTCTTTTGAAGTGCAACCATCGGGCCACAGAAACACAAACAAAACTGAGGGCCAGCAGGTGTGATTTAATTCTGCTAAGAGTCCCCCCTTTTGGATGTGCAAAACAGCCTCTTGGTAATATCCAGCCCAGGCTGTAAGGTAGTTAAAATAGTGCTTCTATGATCAATCAAGATAGTCCTGAAACTCTTGGATTAATTTGCCTCTCAGGCCATCAGAAGGAGAGTCTGATCATTAGCTGACTGCTCTGATCAATATTTTCCGTGTTTCTGATGGTGATGTTCTAGATATTTGAGGTCGATGTGCCCAGTCAGAGCTTCTAACATTTTCCTGCACCATTTTTCCAACAGTTAGGTGCAAATGGAGAAACTGTGCCGTAACCTCTTCTTCACAGAGTTTGTTTCTGGAGGCAGGGTAATGTTGCAAATCGCAACAATGCACTCAGTCTTTTCCTTTAGATTGGTGTAGACTATATGACTTAAGTGGTATAAAATAAACCTTGTTATTTGAAGTACTAAACTGTACGGGGGCATGTTGTATAGATTGCAGGAATGCACTGATTTACTACTGTGTTTGCAGACACACATTAAAAATATTTCTTGGAAAATCTATTTATTCTCCCATAAAAATTGCATGTGAAGTAAATAATGTGCCCATTGTTGGTTTGTCCACAGTGATAAAACTCAAAATTGTCTTCATTTCTTGATATTGTTTGAAGTTGTTAAATTCACAAGGCTGAAAAGAAACTTGCTGTTTTGATGTACTGATCCAGTTTTGTCCTAATTATTTAAATGTACACATTTTCTACTGCATAGAAATAACTTATTAAGATCAATGATCATTTCCATCCCTTAGTTTTAAGGCATTCATGGATCTGTTAAATTATCAAGTACTGATGGTATTGAATTGTGTGCACTTGTTTTAACTGTCAATATAATTTAGTGTGTTTGATTCAGTTTGGGGAGTTTCCAAAATGTCCATCCGGGAGGACCGACGAACATGACGATCTTGTTTTCTTAATTCAGAAGAATATCTTTTTTATTTACTGTTTGCAGAGGAAGCCACCTAAGTCATCTGCTGAAGCTGTATGTTTTGGAACCTACAAGTATTTCTTTTCAAGCCCTAGGTTTTATAAAACACAGGCGCAGATCAAAAGAATGAAAATGGCTTAGCTGGTTAGAAAATGTATAAAGTAGGACAGAATGTTTGCCAAGCTATTCTTGCATCCAGGTGTGGAATCAAACAGAATTAGTTTCCTGTCATTTTTGCATATAAATGTCTTTCTAACCTTAATCTAGCAGACACATCCCGGCTGAATTCATTACGCTGTTGTGTATGATTTAGAGTGGTCTGCTTCAGAGTAAAACGGGCTTTAAAAACATCTCTTCTGATTACTCTTACTGTAAAACAAGAAAGACACCGAAATCTAAATTTACCAAGGTATTAACTGTTCTTAAAATAACAAGGAAACAATAATAAGTCACATCCAATTTCCAGTGTAGAATTATTATAGTTATTAATAGTAATTTTCAAAGATATGCTCAGTTTTTTTTCCCGTTTAAATCAAACTTAACCAGCAAGCTCAGTAAAGTTACCCAATTGCAAATACGTGGACTTGTTTTTTAATGATTAAACTTCAAGATCAGTTATAAAATGGTATTTAGATTCTTAAAGTACACTCAGGGTAGCTTGTAGTGTACTGTATGTTCTTAAGAAAGACCTTAATTAAAGAGAAAAACAAAATAAGACCATTGCAATTGCATCTGTAGTGAATCTGAAGATACAGTGCTGTATGTTATTTCTTTTCACTTTCACTGTAGAATACACATGGTGCCATTACGTTTCCAAATACCATTGTAAGCATGCTGTACTATTAGCAATTTTATTGTAGTGCCTGTTTGTGTTAAGCATATCTAGTTTTACCACGTAATAGCAACATGATTAGGGTGACTACTGCATACAACAGTATGGCCTGCTGTAGACCAGTTCTTGCCGAAAGAACCAAACGTTCCAATTCGCTCTACAAGAAAGCTGTGTGATGCAATTCTGAGAAAACTGTTTTCCCATTTACCGTTCCTTAACCCGATGATGATGCCGTTCCACACTGATAGATTGTTTAATCTCAACCTGCATCATACATCATCTGCTGATTACACGGAAAGGGTAATATGCGGTCAATAAATGAGAAAAATGAGACTTGAAGCTTTTCAAATTGTTTGCATTAACTCGTTCCATCATCGCTTATTTACGCTGCATACCAAAAACGCAAATGCGTTTTTATGCACGACACACGCTGAAAACCAGGAAACCCGAGAGCCCTTTGGCTATTGGTAATACAGGTCTGACATGAACAATTGACCCTTATTTCTTTCTTTCTGTCAGTTTCATAACCAGATGATTTTTGTAATGCTACAGCTGTACAGTACCAACAAAGCGTATTAGGAACATTTAATCATCATCATAATCATTATTATTATGCAGAATATTAAGCTACAGAGGGTATTCCAATACTTATGTGGATCCCATACAGACTGTATACTGTAGATAATCACTCGCATTTTCTGTGAAGACCCATTCATACTGTACTGTATAAACTCGCAAACCAAACTTGAACACAAAATGTATTACATACAGAATATATATATATTAATTCGCAGGTTAATTACTAACAATACGGCATACGGTATATATTTATATATTTCTCCTATAGGTCTAGAAGGATTTCTAATTTAAAAAAGTCTGACAAACCCTTAAACGATGTATCCTTTCGTATAGTTTCGGGGCTTACAGAATTTGGGGAACGATTCCTTAGGATGCTGATAGCTTCACGTATTGTAAAACCTTAAACGAAATTATAGGCCTGTTGTATTACCAAGATTGTTTATCTGTTAGTATTGGATTAGTTTTGTTGGCCTTCTAATTTATGGTTTATGTGCTTAAAAGAAAAAACACGTGTTATGAACTAAAAAAAAATGCGCTTTTTTATTTGCAAGAGAACATTTGCAAGCCGGTATGTGGTGCCACATTGAAAACAACATCAGTGCGCAAAGACGTTGCCTTACCTGTACCAGTCTAAACCTCTGTCATAGTTTCTATCGAAGAAATGCGGCTCCGTGCCAACTGCTCGCACATCTGGGTGCACCCTAATGAACTCGAGTACAGCCCTGGTTCCACCTTTTTTAACGCCGACAATGATCGCATTCGGCAATTTCTTGTTTCCAAATTTCGGGGTGCCAGAATTATTCGACCTCCGCTCTGCCGTGCCGAAACTCCGCGGAGTACTGAGGAAGGCTGCAAAGTTTTTGCTTTGGTTATGAACTGGGCTTGTTCCCTGGCGAGTCAAACCCAAATTCGAGGTCGCATCCCGGATCGCCTTGGAGTCTACCGGCAAAGTGCAATAGTGGGATTTTTGCAGAAGTTTTTTGCTCCCTACATTTTGGGATAGGAGGCACCTGTGCTCTTCATAACGCTGGCTTTGCATGATGGTATCAGAACAGAATATGAGACTGTAGCATAAATAAGTAAACGACAAGGAAAGCGTGAATATAAAAAGAAATCTTCTGGTTAACCTATTTGAAGATGGCACGAGTCGGCTGGTGAACCTATATGCCATGTCTCCATGGATTAAGACGTTGCATGTTTTTGCTTTTGGATCTTTCCTGGGCTCCTACGTTTTTCTGGGACATCTGTAGGATCAAGCAGTATTCCAAAAAACGCTTATGTTGAAAGATCCAGAAGTACCAAGGCGGTATACAGGAGTCGGGCAATTTAATCTAGCCGTGATAAAGTGACAGAATTCTTCCGTAACGGACCGGTGTGAGGTCTCGAAGTGGCCGGTTTGCCACACGGCGCCACCTGCCAAGGCATTTCGTGTCTGTGAGATCAAGCAATTTCTCCTTAAGTTAGGTAAAATGACAATACATGACAATCTGAGATTTGTACATTACGCAGCAATCGAGTCACTCAAAGCCACTCAAAATCCTGTATCAATTCTGTGCAGTCCAGCGATATTCTTGTACTTCCTTGGTTCATTCAGTTCACGGACATCCCCTTATAGATTTTCATAAAATAATTATCCTTTTGGGAAACTTCAGAAATCCACTTTTTAAGTTCACGACGATTTATTACTGCTTCTTTGTTATACGCATTTAAACCAATGTGGTGTAATGCGCACTCCTTCCTTCTCAATCTGAGTGCTTTTGCAAGATTTCAGATCTTAAAGGCCGTGCATTTCAGCTTCTGCTCCCTCAAAGTTCCCAAGAATGCCTTTGCAGCAGCGAAGAGCTGATGATAAATATTTAAAGGCGCTATCTGACGTCAGTTCTCAGCCTCCTGAATGCGTTATTTAATAAAAAGGAATACCCAGAGCTTATCACATTCAAATACTAACCCCGGCAACATTAGATACCTTGGTAGCTTTGGGTGCTGTTCCTTTTTTTACATTGCTAGTTTCACACGTACAGTATACGAAAAAAAAAACACTATTCCACCCTCGTCCTCGTTTGCCTCTCCAGCTAGCCTATGGCATACACCTTGATATACTGTACTACAGCGTTTTGTACAGTATGTCGAAGATTTAAACACTTCTGTTCGTATGTACGCATGTATCGATCCAAATGTGAGCGATGAACGAATCATTTGTACTTACAAGATAGACTTGCTAAAAACACATCGCATCTTCATAATGCGCTTTAATGCCTCTTCGTTGTTAATCACAAGTCACAAGACCAGGAGATATGACATCGTTACTTTAAAAGAAGACACAAGCGGAGGATAAATCTGTAGAAATCAGTAATTAAAAGCTAAGCTCATACTGGAAATGTATATCTTGTAGTCCTTACTTGCATAGCCTGTAGGGAGATGATGTTTGGAATTGTCTTGCTACTTTGCTGCAGTGAGAGATCCAACTTTGGCTTTCGTGTAATTTTGAGCACCTTTAAAAGACACACGTGCGCGTTCCGTGCATTTCAAAGTATGTGCGTAAAATTTGGGGTATAAAGAAATAAAATATTGTAATGTAGTCATAGTTTACATAATCAGAACCAGCATAAGCGCATAAGTTGATCCTGGGATATATATTTGGTGAATATAAAACTGGAATCTTATTAAATCTGGGACCAGCTCCTTATTAACGTTGCCACTAAGACTGATATAGTGATACACTGTGGGTTTGAATTTACCTTATCTGATTTTTAACCATTATTAGACTCCCTCTAGCGTCGCGAAAACATATTGTAATCTGAAGCACAGTTTCAACTGGCTCAAGGTACTTTAAACACAGGAGCATAATCGTAACTGGTAATCTAACACAGGGTGATTTCAGGCTGCCTATGTTGCAACCCGGTGTAAGAAGGATTGAGTTTGTACTTGAGGGGGCGACGTAGTGGAGTGAAAGACGTCAGTATTGCTGCCTCACACGTGGTCTTTTCCTTACATGGTATCTTCCTGTTTATTTGGATTTTCTCGAGATGCTTCAGGTTCAGCGCTAACTCCTTTTCCAGAAAGACAACAACTGCAAAGTCATTCAGTGATTTTTAAGTGGAGCAGCCTGCAAGTGATCTAGAAGATGGAATGGATAAAAGGGTGGAATGACAATGAGCCTCACAGCTCTTGGATCCTGGGTTCGATTCTGGATTGTGTCACCTTCTGTGTGGAGTGTAAATGCTCTCTTCATGTTTGTGTGGTTTTCCTTAGGTGCTCAGATTCCCCCTCCCCTTTCAGAGACTAGCTGACTAGGTGAAATCGTTTCTCAAAATTGTGTGTGTGTGCCCTGTGTGGACAGGTATCCTGTCCATACTGTAGTCTGGGATGCCTTCAGAAATATCAGAAATAAGAGGGTTTCTAATAATGAATGAAGATACATTCCATGGATTACTTAGTGAACCACATAAACCAGTTGTTTTCAAACATTCTTTCAAAAAGAATGCAATTCTCTAGGATATTTTTGTATGTTGGTCATTATTGACAACTGTGCATTAATGCTTTTTAGTTCTATTCTGAAGCAGCCTTGATTGTAATGTGTTTCGCCACACTGCCATTGAATTCCAGGCAGTGGTTTCTGAATAATGATGTTGCTGCTGTGGTCAGGCCAAGAACCCTATTTAAAACTATTGGAAAAGCCCAGGGGATGTCTTAAAAATGTATTGCTCAAACCATTAACCACCTAATGAACATGAAACAGTTCGTAAGGTGGTAAAGAGCAGTATTACAAGGCTTTAAATAGTCTTTGCAACTAGTCTGAGAAGATCCAGACTTGTGGATCTCTGCACACATACTAAAGAACTTCGGCTAAAGAGTGAATTCCATAAACCCTTTCTTTACAATGACAACATCACAGCTTCATTTACTGCTCCATGAACAGTGAATTATGCAGGCAACCAATGGAATTCTTTTAGATGTTTTTTATATAAGTGCAGTCAGTGTCCTTTTATTTCTCTAATGTAATTTTAGTGGGTTTCTCCCGAGTGAAGGAGTCTGAGAAATCCCATTTCAGCATCCATCAGTTTTTATCTTTCAAAAGGTGATATCTCTACATGGTGAAAGTTAGCAGAGCTCTGGATCTTACCCAAAAGAAATTATACTGCTACTACTATTGGATTGCATGGAGTGCCTTCTGCACCACAAAATCTTGCAGTGAATTATATATGAGTAGACTACTTTGCTACCTCTGTATGTCAGTTCATTTTCAGCAGGTCAACATAATTACATAACTCAATTATAGTCCCAACCTGTCTTTCTCATGTTGGGAGCTTATGGGTATGAGTTTCTCATCCAGCTATGATTTTGAATAAATCACAAGGAGTCACATTGAGCTACATACTGCAGTTGGAATGTTAGTTCTAGGCACCCACAAATCTTTACATGAAGAAGCTCCATCTGTGTCCAATCGAAATTCACTTAATTTCAACTTTGTGCCAAAAGGTACTCATGGAATTGAATTGTGAAGAATTCCACTGAATTTCTGAATTCTTAAATCCAGTGTCCTTACAGTGTCCTTTGCCCTTTTGTCCTGTCTTGTTCTGTTCAAATGAGAAATGAGAAATTAGTCTGCTTGCTCTTCTGTGAATTCCTTACAGAGCAGTAATGCACTTTTCAACAATTTAAAGTCGTCTTCATTTTTCACTTTACTTTTCCAACAGCAATGTGACGTTTTATTTTTTAGTGACCGAGTTTCAGGGAAAAGGCTTCCAATCACCACATATATTCTGTTTGATGTCATTGTCAAATACATCTTGTGATGTGAAATATGGCTCCATCTACTTATATTTTGAGACAGTGAATTTACTATTCCTTGGGGAACTACTGTTTAAGTTTTGTCAGTAACACTAAATAATTACTCAGAGGTTATCAGTATGTTAGTGCCCTGGAACTCATTGACTGTACATTTTTCTTCTTCTTAGTATGTAGTTACCCTCTGTCCTTATCATTCATCCAGTCTTTTTCTAACCACTTTATCCAATTCATGGTCACGGCAGAGCTGGCACCTATCCTGGCAAGAAAGTCTGACAGGCGGGATACACTCTGGACTGGATGCCAGTACATTGCAGGGAACAAACAGACACACACACACTCACACAGTCAATGTATCACGTAAGTTCTCTGAATAAAAGTCACAGCATACCTCACAAGAAGTAAGAAAGAAAAGGTAGTCTTGGATCAATAACCTAAGAGCAACCCTATAAACAAGGATCTTGCCCAGTCATTTCTCGAAGCGCTCCAGGGAATGTGTTTCAAAAACATGCCTGGGCTGTTTGATCCAGCGCCCCACAACTACAAGAAACTACCATTGGTTTCAGTTTTTGTATGTTTTTATTTTTTCCCATAGCTTTGTGCTTCAGAAAATTTCTGACATGTAGGGAATTAACTAAACTTTTATGAGGATGTGGAAATAGTAGATTTTGGGAATAGTAGATTTTGTGAATCAAGACTTTGATGAGGTTATTTCATCTGTTGTAAATACACAAACATGAAATATTAATTCTCACTCAACATGCATGCCTGAAGGATCAGGGCCTTCGTGGTGTGTATCTAAATGAAAAGATAATGGTAGGCCAGAACAGATTAGTATCAGATTTTGTAATTCCATGTGAGCTCCAGCCTAGCTAAATGGAGAACATTGCATTTTGCTGTGAAAATCAAATGAGTTCTTAGCTCACTGTGGTAAAGATCGAGATGGGATGGAATAAAGGAAAAAAAGATCTAGTAAGAGGCTATAATATAAAGTAATCACTGTTGTTTTATATTATATTAAAGCTTCTGACACTGTAAGGAGGCATGTTCACCACTGCAGCCTCAGTTTTTAAGAAGATTATTATAACAACAATGTATGAGATTGACATAATTAAAGGCAATCAGTTCACCATACAAATCTTCATAACCCTTTACTTCAAAGGGAGCTACATTGCATTTAGACAAACCTCACTTTAAAAGTATGAGAAATGGGCAAAGACTTCAAACAAGGATGCATAAAGCAGCAGTCACATAAAACTTAATACAAGAATTTTGCTGTTAAACATTTTACTTTCTACTCTCTGGGCTATCCCTTGGGCAAGTTGTGGGTTTTCTCTCTTGCACTTACAGCAAATGATCTTCTGAAATTTTTTATATGCTTTGTTGAGCTTTCATCTGATTGTCCCGGCATGCCTGTCTTTGCGGTATTCATTTTAGAATTTCTGCTTCATCCTCAGAAATCACAGCAAAGAGAAATATAGTGCTGTAGCACAGTGTGTATTATTCATTGTTCTTCATAAACAATTTTTAAAGCAAACATACAGTGGGCCAGCTTTACCTTTTCATCTCCATCTTGGGTTAAGTATTCGGCTTTCACAAAAGCATTTATGATGGGCAATCTGGCAGTCACCCTCAATCTTTATCTACACTACCCTTTGAAGCAAAAAATCCAATGAGGCTTACATTTTTACAACTGCAATCTGCTGTTTCAATATGCCTTTTCAAGCTTACCGATCTTGCACTCTGAAGCCTGCAGTCTGATGTATGTTACTGGATGTGAGAAAAACAGTTCTTTTGGCTTTAGCAACCTCTTTGTTTAGCAAACACAAACCACCTTTCTGATTGTTGCCGAACTTCATTCTGTCCCAGGACTCTGTGTACTGGTGTTTCAAGACACAGTAGCATGAAGGCATAGCTCAAGAGCATCTCTCTTATGACAGTGTAATCATAGCCGGCCCAGGGACGCCAAATATGTAATGTTGCCATAGCCAAAATGTAAATGTAGTGGCTCTCTGAAGGCACCAGTTCTGT